TATATATATATATATATATTGTAGGTTTTTTAAGTGCGATTACATTTTCTGATTCTTATCAGATTTATAACTTCTCATTATAACTGAGGAAACGTTAATGATGTGCAATAGTTTCCCTTCGCTTAAGCTAAACTACAACTTGAAAAAGTTTGAAAAAAAGATAATGATTTCCAGAACGACTAAAACCTTAAAAATAAAAGTCATATTATAGGGTTGACCCGTGCAGCTGTTTAAATCTTCTTCTTAGTCATTTTTACAATGATTATCTTCGTTTTTTTAGCGGTTTTCTTTGCCGATCCTGCAACCCGGCTTGAGACAAACGGTGATGGCGAGCTAGTTCCGCAGCGAAGAGAGCGCTACGTATTTCGTCCGATTCTCATCAAAATACTTGAAGGCTTTTTTGCTCAGTCTCCATTCCCGGACCTCAACAAACGAGTGGAAATTGCTACCACATGCAATCAAGTACTTCAGATTGAAAAACGAGGTATGGCACGTAGTTCGGGGTTTGGCGTACGAAAAAAAAAACAATCAGGTTGACAACGAATTTAGCATTATTGTTTGTTCATACATCGCCTATGTACTCATCATGGTACAGCTTTCACAGAGCTAGTATATCCATTATATCAAACAATAATAGAGAATATTTACTTTCCAAAAGTACAGGCTCTTTGGGTTTTGATTTTCCTTCGTTTAGGTGTTGGACTAATGCCGAAGGAAGTTGTTTCACCTCAGGTGGTGGCTAACTGGTTTGCAAACAAACGGAAGGAACTGAGAAGACGTTCACAGGAAGCCAGTGAACAAGCTGCAGTGGCAGCTGGTACAGCTACAAGCCAAGCAACCACTCCAGCTCATACTGCAAATGAGGAAGCAACGGTTAGTTGCATTTATCTTTATGCAGTGCTAAGCATTTCTTACTTAGGTGATTTGCAGAGTTCCGGTGTTGGCTCAACACCTTCTCCAATAATGGAGGAGAATGAATCAGCGGAACAGCAAGAATCCGAAACTCGCCCACTGGATGTTGTAGCTCTAGCTGCTCGTTTGGGCATTGCTTTTCCGCAACTTCCGACGACCTCTACAGAATCCACCACCACAGCGGAAACTTCATTTTCACAAGCGCTTCCTATAGCTACCTTAGCATCCCACATATTGGCGGCCAGCCAGAATTTGGCATGCTACAACAATGACTCACAGACCCCGCTGACTATGGCTTCCTTGGCATCACAGCTACTGCCTGCTGCCACGACTGGAACAGCGCCGCCTGTGAGCATTATGGACTCGCTTATAACTCCCGGTTTACAGTTGCTCAACGGTCAACTGCCTGTGCTCAACGAGCTCTGCAATAACGAGCAGCAGCTCGAATCCAACGATCATAATTTGCTTTCTATGACGTATGATCAACTTCATCCGACTCTGTTGAAGACAGAACCGATGGAATGATTGTTTCTGTACATATCGTCGTTGTCGGCAGTGACAATAGGGAAATTACAAAGTTTGTTGGAACACTAGCTCTAATTCTAGACTCTTTTCGTAATAGTTCCCAATTACAGGTACTTTTAATAATGAACAAAGTTCATACTAGCATATCGCTTCACGCTAACTATCATTTACACAAACGTTACTTCTAAAACCTGTTGATTCCGATGCAATTGTAAATCTGTACAAAAACTAGTCATAACATCATACAATATGCTAAAACATTATCGCATTGTAGACATGTCTTTCATATCTTAGGTTTCCCACTTGTTTAGCTCTCCAATATATGTGTGTGAAGTAAGGTGCTGAGTAACTTCCTGATCACTAACGTGAAATTGGCAAATTACCATCAGATATATGCAAAACTGGTTCGAGCTGGCTTTTTCTAATACGAATGGGAGATTGCAAACCAGAAAGCACCAAATCGGGTCACTCTGTTACCCTTTTTCGAATAACTAAGGTAGATACGTATTTTTTAGTGCATAGATTTTCCCGAATAGGGTATGTGCTCCAACAAAAATTAGCATAAATTTCAACCAAACTCTTCTGCCTATCCCCAGAAAACCAACCCTAACTTTTCTTTATTGTCACTGAAGCCAACATTCATATTACTCATAGAACAGAATTGTTAATGATATGAGTCTCATTCTGGATCTTTGTCGTTCCTCAATCACCACGAAATTCGTTGTATTTGTATTTGTGTGTGTGTGTG